CGGATCCATGTTAACTTTTTCCCCGAAATCAACAAAACAAAGGCCGTACATTGAAAAGGATTTACCGACCCTTCAGTAGCTTAAGGCTTACAAGCGAGTTTGTAACAAATAGTGCAAATATACTTCTGAAATCACAAAAAACGAAACTCCTGCACATTCTCCGAACTTTGTTGGCCGTTAAATCTTTAAATCTGTAATTTGGGCTTAAATAAACTTCTCAACGGTTAACGGTAAAGTAGTGCGAAATTCAGTAAGCTTTTTTCAGTTAACTACAGGGTGTTGTAAAATTAATTTTCACAGTTGACAAAGTTAAAACTTTCCGGCCAGTTTTGTTTTTAATTTTCGAACTGCGGCTTTAATTTTTTTTGGAATATTGTTCGATAATGAAGACACCTTGATCTAACGTGTAAAGCTCCATTTTAACTGAGCCCAAGCCATCAGCAGTTTATTTTGGGACCAGCAGTAAGACCAACAACAACGTCAGCTTCGAAATCCAGCCCAGAATAACGCTTGCCAACAGATGCTACTTCGGACTGAGTAGGCAATTGAGAAGCAAAGTCCTCTCTCGACGAACAAAAACCAAATTCTACAAGTCACTCATGCGCTACATGGTGGAAAAGCAGGGACGATGACAACATCTAATGAGGCGGCGTTACGAGTTTTTGAGAGAAAGGTTCTGCGGAAGATGTATGTTCCTTTGCCAACGTCGAATATCGCATTCCATGGAATGATGAGCTGTACGAGATATTGACCTAGTTCAGCGAATTAAGAGACAGCGGGTACGAATGTATGAAAACACCTCAGCTCAGGGAGTGTTCGACACTGTACCCGCCCGGGGAAGCAGAATATGAGGAAGACCTGAACTCCGTTGTAAACTCGGCAATAACCGCGTAAGCGCAACCTATGCCAATACCGAAGAAGGATATGAAACTATCGCCAAAAAGTACCTATCTATTTTCATTGAAGGCTTTTCGACCGTCTTTTTTTACATAATTATGCCATTTTAAAATATTATATTAAGTTTAAGTGACTTTTTAGGTTTTGTTGCAAGTTCAACGTCCTGAGAAGTGCCACTATTTTCTCATCGATAACTTGAAGGAGTTCTTACATACTTACTGAAGTGTATTTGTAGTTTAACTAACGAACTTTTCCGCCGGTTACCCGTCAGCCAACTTACTGCTCTGGCAGCAGCAGAACCTGGACGTTTGCGAAGCAATTGCACACTTCGGAGTGGAATTGAGTATTTTGCTTGTAATTGAAATTTGCCACTCAGCAAGATGCAAGTAGTTCAAACTCATTTGAAGAGGTTCACATGGACCAAACAGTGAATACGAATACAAGCTAAAATTAAGTTTTTTTCGACATAAAAAACATTCAAAAAATTTCAAAAACTATGAAAAAGGTACCTTCAAGCCAACTGATTTCTGTGAAAATGATTGGAACTCCCCCAGAAACTTATCAATACCCGAAGTAGGGTACACATTGCTTGCTTTTCTTTTGCAGACAAGAAAGGGTCTTTCTTTTCACTACGAAACTAATTGTTTTCTCGAAGCATTTCTTTAAAGAATGCGTTATTATGACTGCATTCTTACTGCGTGAGGGTGGCGCTAAAACTTTGCAACTTGACGACAACAGAAAGCAGGAAAATGCACAAATAACTCAAATAAAAATGAAAATGCACAGGGCCGAGCTTCTCTGCCGCCAAATGCTATTCACTAGGACACTGTAAGAACTTTCGAGAATTGAAAAGCAGCTTCGGAGATGCGAAAATTTGACTAATTTCTACTCTAATCACACGTTGCGAACTCAATCTCTACCAAGCAGTAGTCGCGCACTCGAGGCAATGGTGGTTCTTTAGGCGCCAAAACTGCGTATTTGAGGATACAAAATTTTGTTTTGGAGCAAAAAGAATTTGAGTCGAAAACGACTGGCAGTCAGCGATAGTGTGTGCAAACAAATGTAACGCACTACGGAAGTCAGGCAGTCAAGCAGGCGAGGCGTTGGGCCAGCTTGCTTAGAAATGAAAAGGGTGCGAATAGTGGAGAATAGGAAGTAAAATCAATTGAACTAACCAATTATCAAATGCTGTTGGCAGAAGTGGCATTAGAAGTGGAATAAGTTCGAAAATGTGTAAACGCGTTTTGTAACAACGTTTTGACGAGGCGCGTGTAGTAAGGCGGAGAAGGGGGTTACCGACCGAAATGGCTGTTCGATGAGTGGCGGCGCTGCATTGGGAAAATATACGTATGGTTTGGCAACTTTTTTATTGATGGTTTTCAGTTTGCAAAGTAATTTTGAAAGGCGAATGTTTACATAATATTAGATAAGTGCGGTGCTGCAGTGGCGAAACTTTATCTTAGCAGTTATGCAAACTCACTCAAATATCTCGTAAAGCCAAGCACACAAACACATGTGCACACACACACACATGCGCGTACATGTGTCGAAGAGTACGCAGGAAGTTATTCAATTTTCTAATTGCATCTATGCATGCAAGTGTATGTGTGTAGGTGTGTAAGTGTGGGCGAGCATTCGAGTATTTGTCGCTACTTTATCTGTGGCGGCTTCAGTGGGTTTTTATTTAAACTTGCTCTGCTTAAGCGTCTACCTAACTTTCGGACAAAGTTTTCATCACTGCATGAGAAGTCAAATTGGAGTGCTTTATTTTAAATAAATTCACTGCAAATTGCTGATAACGCAGCTGTAAACTTTTTCGTGCAGCAATATCAAATAGTAGCTGCATAATATATGTATGTATGTGTGTGTATACAAAAGACGAGAATTGATTAAATGAGCGGTCAATTTATATTTTATTTTCATCTGTATGGAGGATACATTCATACATATGTACATAAAGTACCGTTATGTAATAACAAAACAGTTTTTTAACTGTGTTTTCAACTCAATGTGGTTTTAAATATGCCGCTACGTTCAATAAGACGCTTTCTTATTCTTCATTGTCCTAGATACCGCTCCGGAGACACCCAGGTGGCTTGATGATTTTTCTTATGCTGGAATCTAGTACTACAGATAACCATATTTTGGGCCCCAGCGAAGTCGATCAGCCTCAACCCATTTGGGTATGTATACTCATGGAGGCTAAATTTACCGACCGTAGTGCCAAAGATACCTTCTTTGCCCACCTTGAACTTCGCTTTGACGCGGATTATGACTAGACGTTCATCCACCGGGGTGAATGACAGTACTCGACGATGGAGTCTCTCTTCCACCACGAATCCCACACCAAATTTGCTCTCCTTTATATGGCCACTATAGTAAATGCCCCAAGGGCCTACTCGCCTTAGTTCTTGTCCCATCCATCGGTGATTTCTGCTTTCACTCTAACGAGAACATCAAACAGCTGAGCAGCGGCACCTTCCCAATTAAGGGATCGTATATTCCAGGTACATACCCTTAAATCGTAATCCTTAACATATTTGTGAGGGTCGTCATCAAAAGGTGGTCTCTCATCCGAGGCTTTTTTCTTCTTTTCCTTGGTAGTGTTTTTTACGAATCGCGTCCCAAACCCAGCGCACAACTCTGCGGCGGAATGGTTCGCTTTCTCACTTTAGCTTGCCTTAAAAAAAGTGTTCTTTGGTTACCATAAGGATACTTGGTCTAAGACCGGAAGTCGTGGGCTGCTTGAGCCATATGTAAAAGAATCTTTTCTGGCCACTCCCAAGTGAATGGCGCTCGGAGAACTTTCCTCACTTGCGTGAACTTCTACACATGGCTCCATCTAAATACGACTCCAAGAACATAAAATCCGTTTCTCGTCAGAAAATGTCACATCTCAGAAAATCCATTGACTGTCTGGTGTGGGTTTGAGAATTGACACACCCTTGACTAGCCACATGCAGGCATGAAATTATGCTGGTTAACGCTTATAAGGTGGAACCTGGTTTATATAAAGGCCTCAGCGTTTTCTCTATAGTCAAAATATTTCTGATCAATCAACAGTATGAGGCATCTACTTTAAATTCTCCATTTGTCTTTAATACACTTATATGCATCTCTGTATATAAAAAGAATAAAGTTGAGGTAACAAAATTGAGTTAACAATCTTTCAGCACCTCATTCTCTTATCCATCAACAAGCTTGTGGCAATGCCGCGTTCACGTCACTCAATCTTCCTTCCAGTCGTCAGCATTGTTTCTTACTCCGCATCCGCTGAACAGACACAGCAGAGAAATTAAGTAATTCTCCTGCATGCTTGCTGATCGCGGGTCAGTAACAGTAATTTTCATTTCACTGTATACCAGGCTGCCACAGTGCAAACAGTACATTGACGGCGCCGTGAATGTCCTTCAGCAGTGCAGTGAGGCAGTCAACAGCATTGACCCTTCTTATGCTGGCCAACCGACCAAGCAGCAAAGCAAACAAGCCGTGCGCACCACGTGAAAGCGAGGGCAGGGACTGATTTGCGACTCGTTGGTTCGTTGGCGGCTGGATGTGGCAACTGTTGGCTCTGCCACTTTGTGGTTGTAATAAAGAGATGTTTATGCTTTTACCAGCTGGTTATAGCCTTTCTCATTAAACTTCAGTGTTTTCTTAACCCAGCCATTGCAGTTTCGAGTTCATATTAAGTGAGGGAAAGATTATATTAAAAAGAAATCATTAAGTTTAATAATCCACAAGCGAAAACGTGTGGATAAAAATAAATAAAACTGGAAAATAATTCCCCCACGAGTATTCCATATGCCTGGCATGCTGGGTATATTCGACGTGCCTGCACCATGCTTGCATGCTCTAAATTTACGGCTGCCAAAGTAATATTTAAAAATCCGTAAATGTAAATTAAATTCCTTTTTAATCAACTCCGTTGTCAATACAAGTTTGCTCGAAGTTCCGGCGGCGCATATGATTTCATTAAGTGTGAGTGTACTGGTTTTATAGTGTCCGTCAGGCATATCTTAAGTTATATCCAATATATAGTCTGATGTCTGTAAACACTATATAATTTCTCCCCACAGTCTCATCGTATCAGATATTCATTGGTGTTGGCAAAGCTGGCAAACAATTCAAATTGGAAAAGTGACACATTGAAATTGAAATGTAATTTAAAATATAAAAGACGTGTTTGCATGAAAATTTTGTCCAAAAATTTATTGAAAATTACGATACCGAAGGTAATTCAAAATGTCGTCTGAATGGTGCACATGCTATAATACGAAACCACAAGAGAAATCATGTGGCTGTATAGACGTCGACGAAAAAGAATGCGTTTGTCTTCCGCCCTCGAAAGAGAAACTGGCTTCCTTTGTGGAAGTCACGAAGCGCAAAGAGATTGACGAAAGCAAGTACGGGCGTGTTTTTGGGGTTTCTGGTCCAGGTAAACTATAATATATCATTGCATATAACTGTTAATTTGAATTTGCTTTGCATGTCATAGTGGTCACTGCTGAAAATATGTCAGGCTCCGCTATGTATGAATTGGTGCGTGTTGGATATTTTGAACTCGTCGGCGAAATTATACGTCTGGAAGGTGAAATGGCGACAGTTCAAGTCTATGAGGAGACTTCCGGTGTTACAGTCGGTGATCCGGTTTTAAAGACCGGTAAGCCGCTCTCTGTAGAATTGGGTCCAGGTATAATGGGTGGCATTTTCGATGGAATTCAGCGTCCGCTGCGCATTATAAACGAACTCACCAGTTCTATTTATATACCGAAGGGTGTAAATGTTACAAGCTTGTCACGCGATATAAGTTGGGAATTTCGCCCTGGCAAGGTATCAATTGGTTCACATTTGACTGGCGGTGACATTTTTGGATACGTACAAGAGAACACATTGGTAAATCATAAGATTTTAATGAATCCTCGTGCAAAAGGTACTGTTAAATATATAGCGCCACCGGGTCAATACACAGTCGACGAGGTGGTACTGGAGACCGAGTTTGATAATGTTGTTACCAAACATACCATGTTGCAAGTGTGGCCAGTGCGTCAGCCGCGCCCAGTTAATGAAAAATTGCCGGGAAATCATCCATTGCTGACTGGACAACGGATATTGGATTCACTTTTTCCATGCGTTTTGGGTGGCACAACTGCAATACCAGGTGCATTCGGTTGTGGCAAGACAGTTATTTCACAGGTAATGCTTTATTGTTTTATTAAGAGAAATAATATTAGTAATCATTTGCGAGGCCGATACAGTAAAATTTTACCAACTTGTAAATTTCTAGTCTTTGTCGAAATATTCCAACTCTGATGTCATTATCTACGTCGGTTGCGGTGAACGTGGTAACGAAATGTCTGAAGTATTGCGTGATTTCCCCGAATTGTCCGTTGAAATTGACGGTGTCACCGAGTCTATCATGAAGCGCACCGCTCTGGTTGCGAACACCTCCAACATGCCGGTCGCTGCTCGTGAAGCTTCCATTTACACTGGTATCACACTCTCCGAATACTTCCGTGACATGGGCTATAACGTGTCAATGATGGCTGATTCCACCTCCCGTTGGGCCGAAGCTCTTCGTGAAATTTCAGGTCGTTTGGCAGAAATGCCTGCCGACTCTGGTTACCCCGCCTACTTGGGTGCACGTCTAGCCTCCTTCTACGAGCGTGCTGGACGCGTCAAATGTTTGGGTAATCCTGAACGTGAAGGTTCCGTCTCCATTGTCGGTGCTGTATCGCCACCTGGTGGTGATTTCTCAGACCCTGTTACCTCCGCGACACTCAGTATTGTGCAAGTATTTTGGGGATTAGATAAAAAGTTAGCGCAACGAAAGCATTTCCCATCAGTAAACTGGCTAATATCGTATTCAAAATATATGCGTGCGTTGGACGAATATTATGAAGAGCACTTTCCGGAATTCGTGCCTCTACGTTTAAAAGTTAAAGAAATTCTACAAGAAGAAGAAGACTTATCAGAAATCGTACAGCTTGTGGGTAAAGCTTCATTGGCCGAGACCGATAAAGTAACTTTGGAAGTGGCCAAGTTGATTAAAGACGATTTTCTGCAGCAGAACTCGTATTCGACATATGACCGCTATTGCCCATTCTACAAGACGGTTGGCATGCTGAATAACATAATTACGTTCTACGATCTCTCGCGTAACGCTATAGAAAGTACAATTTCGGATGAAAATCGAGTTACATGGAATGAGATACGTCAGGAAATGGGAAATATACTGTACGAATTATCATCCATGAAATTTAAGGTGAGTATGCATGTTTGACATACTTTTTGTAGATAAATTAAGACAATGCATTTAAATGGTATGTTAGGATGCACATAAAGATGGAGAACGAAGAATCATGCGTGACTACAAAAAACTTAACGACGATATGCAAGCGGCTTTTAGTCGAATGTTGGAATGAATTAATTTGGTAAAACTGTTTTGTTTGATCTCAAATAATACTAATGATACCGTTATTAATATTTTTATACTCGAATTCAACTTATTGCATAACACTAATGATACCGTTATAAATATTTTTATACCATTGCATAACACATACACCGAAATAGAAAACTTAAGCATTTTCGTTTGCTGAACTTGTAACCGAATAACGGATTTTTGTTTTCATTTTAACTCACAGTTTTAGATTTAATTTTTTATATCAATAATAAACGGTTTAAATTAAAGTTCTTAGTTTCAAATATTTTCAATCAATTACCGTTACGAAATAGCACACGCTAAGAATGAGACTGAGAATGAAGCTAATATAAAAGAAGCACGAGTGAATTAAGTCGGGGGTTTTGAAATAATGACACGCCTTTTTCGAAATTCTCTACAGATATTACATTTACTTTTGTATGCTAAACACATTTCAATGAACCGTTAAACTAAGTGTAGAATTTGAATTCGACATTCAGTTTTGCTCGCCGAAATGATATTTCTGTTGCCTCTGAAGAATTATTTTACGGTATTTCCTAACAAAGCAGTAAAATGAAGTACAAATTATTTCGTCTGGTGAAATGTGTTTACAAATTTTACATGCCAGCAAAATTGAAAAACAAACAAAAAAAAAAAAAAACGATTACCCGCAATAAACTGCTTGCAAGTTTTTAATAGCCACCTGTCTACATACATATATAAATGTCGAGTGTGTATGCACGTGAACACACAACCCTTTACCTAATTCTAGTATTGCTACAATGTTCCATTAAATTCCCCAGTGCAAACTATCTTGTCAAAAAATAAGCTTAGACTTTTCACTCTTATCCACTTATTATCCCATTAAGCGCCATGGTTACAATATGTCCTGCAGTTATTGCTTTAGTCCGCATTTCTGGCGCTGGTACTGGCGCTCAGCACCTCGTCAAGTCACTTTACGGTTTTATTTCACCCAACCGTGGCCAGAAGTGGAGCCTTCGCAAGTTTATTACGCTATCAAAATCAAGCACACAACTGGCCACATACTGTGCTTTTCGCCACACATGTGTGTGTAGATTTTCATGTTGAAATGAAATTTTCTTTGTTGACGCGCACATTTTATTTTTATTGTGGACATTTTATGCGGACGGTCGGTCGGTTTCATGTTGAAATTTGAATATGTGTGTATGTGTGCCCTTCGTGTACGTATAGCGTTGGCGACGTGTCATGTTTAGCAAAGTGGAACGCCACGAGCACTCACTTCACCTGCTGTGCTGCGCTGCGTTTATGGCGGTGGCAGTTGAGGGTACTGAAATTTATTGGTGGCCCACAAAGTGGTGAGTTTAAATGTTTTTAATATTTTAGCACTTTCGAGTCATAAATTTTGAAGTTTCCGCACTCACGTTTCGAAAGTACATGTATTTTCGTTGGCTATTAACTTTAACCTTTCACATGGTCTAATGAACGTTAGGGAAGTATAGAAAGTATGTATGGCAGAGTTTGCGAAAATGCAACAAATTTCAGCCAAATTAAGTGTTCTCTAACCTGCTAGCGGAAAGGAGAAAAAAAGTAAGATTTAAGAAAGCATGCTAACAATTCTTACACAATATGGCTAGATCTGTGATAAACTTCAGTTTTAAATTTCTCCAGCTAATCTGCTACTATCGCATTGTATGCAACAATCAATTATAATTAATTACAGTTAACTATTTAAAAATGTGTTTTGGACTCTCCACACAAACAAGTAGAAAATTATTGGAATATTTTGAGTTTGTGTATTCACCAAATGGCGCTACTTTCTCAGCTTTCCATTTATCGAGTGCCTGAGAGCACGGCATCCGTTCGTTCTGCTGAATTTTCGATTAATATTTACTAATAGACAATAAAACTAACAGCAGCAGGAGTTTGTATGTTTACAGTGAAATGTAGCTTGAGGCTGCACATTTTATTTCAGAATGCACTTTTCACAATACATTTTCAATAAGGTAATTATTTACATTACATTCAACAAATGAAGGTCAGCTGTAGCAGCGAAAACAATACATTTAGATTTTGACAAACAAGAATTTCAATTATACAATAATACTACTGGTATGCATTTTTAAATAAGTATATATGTATGTATATGTAAGCTGACGTAAAAACCGCACTTCTGACTTGTATTTTGTAGATTGAATGCGCACTTTGCGGATAGCAAATATCCGCTCTACAGTATGTATATATATAGTGTGTGTGTATGTAAACAGTAAATGCGCACGGTTGACATTCCAAAAGATACAAATGTTAACAATAATATTGGAAGTACATTTTGGGACTTTTTTTTTTTTTTTTTTTTACTTTGTTGCCTGCAATAAACATTTATTATTTTCAATAGAAACACCGAAAGGCCGGAATGTTTTCATTTTAACATTTTCACAGAAAAACAGTGTAATTAATTAAAGTAAACGGCTGATTTAAATACGTTTGTTGGAAACATTTAAGTGGAATGCATAATTTTGTCTTTTATAAAGGAATAGTTGTGTGTCCCTTTTGGTTCTGTTTCGTTACTGATTAGGATGACGCGTTTACACGATTTTCGTTTAATTAATCTACATAACAATATTAAAGGCTCCTTGTCTTTTAGAACAATTTAAAATTAAAGCAAACTTGTGTAGAACTCGCTTATAAAGCTTAATCTTCTAAGTTTCTGAAAGCCTGTTGTAGATCTTCGTGCAGTTGCTCGAAATCACCCTTGATCTTGGCTTCACCATCCTTCACGGGATCCTGTGGTGCAACAAATTAAAGAAATCAAATAAAAATTACCAGTTATATTGGCAGTTCTTTTAGCTAACCTTGAATTTCATGGACGAGAGCTGGTACATGATGTTGCCCATGGCTTCGCGGATAACATTCCATGTGATCTTGTTCTCGGATTGCGCTGTCGATTCCACGGAGTGGCGTGCCAAGTCGTAGAAGGAAATTATGTTCTTCAACATACCCACGGTCTTGTAGAAGGGGCAGAAACGATCGTACGATGAGTAGGAGTTCTGTTGCAAGAAATCGTCTTTCAACAATTTCGCCACCTCAAGTGTGATCTTGTCTGTTTCGGCCAATGAAGCTTTACCGACCAACTGTACAATTTCAGACAGATCTTCTTCTTCTTGTAGAATTTCCTTAACCTTAGTACGCAATGGCACGAATTCAGCAAAGTTCTTTTCATAGAAATCATCCAGAGCACGCATGTATTTCGAGTAGGAAATCAACCAATTGATCGAAGGGAAATGTTTACGTTGAGCCAATTTCTTATCCAAACCCCAGAACACTTGTACGATACCCAAAGTGGCGGATGTGACGGGATCTGAGAAATCGCCACCAGGTGGCGATACAGCACCGACAATGGAGACGGAGCCTTCACGTTCAGGATTACCCAAGCATTTGACGCGTCCAGCACGTTCGTAGAAGGAGGCTAGACGTGCACCCAAGTAGGCGGGGTAACCAGAGTCGGCAGGCATTTCAGCCAAACGACCTGAAATTTCACGAAGCGCTTCGGCCCAACGGGAGGTGGAATCAGCCATCATAGATACGTTGTAACCCATATCGCGGAAGTATTCGGAGAGTGTGATACCAGTGTAAATGGAAGCTTCACGAGCAGCGACAGGCATGTTAGAGGTGTTAGCAACCAGAGCGGTACGCTTCATGATAGACTCGGTGACACCGTCAATTTCAACGGACAATTCGGGGAAATCACGCAATACTTCAGACATTTCGTTACCACGTTCACCGCAACCGACGTAGATAATGACATCAGAGTTGGAGTACTTGGACAAAGCCTGCGAAGCAAGAAACCGAAAACATAACGTTAATTTTATTTTATTTTTATTTTTGTGGTCTTCTTGTAATTACCTGTGAGATGACAGTTTTGCCACAACCGAAAGCTCCGGGAATGGCGGTGGTACCCCCTTGTACACAAGGGAACAGTGAGTCCAATACACGCTGGCCAGTCAACAATGGGTGGTTGGCGGGCAATTTTTCAGTTACTGGACGGGGTTGACGTACAGGCCACACTTGCAACATAGTGTGTTTGGTGATTTCACCGTCGAACTCGGTTTCCAAAACGACATCATCAACTTTGTAGTTACCAGTAGGAGCAATGTAACGAACGGTACCCTTTGTGCGTGGATTTACAATCATCTTGTGTTTAACCAATGTGTTTTCGTGCACCAAACCGTAAAGATCACCTCCGGTGATGTGTGAACCAACTTTTACGTTGAGTGGATTGAATTCCCAAGCTTGGGTACGGGACAAACTGGGTACATTCACACCCTTGGGAATGTAAATGGATTCGGTCAACTCGTTAATGTCCTTAAGTGGACGCTGGATACCGTCAAAAATGCTACCCATAATACCTGGACCCAATTCGACGGACAGAGGTTTGCCTGTACGCAACACGGGATCACCAACAGTTACGCCAGAGGTTTCCTCGTATACCTGAATGGTGGCCATGTCACCTTCCAGACGAATGATCTCACCCACCAATTCGTAGTAACCTACACGCACCAACTCGTACATAGCAGAGCCAGACATACGCTCGGCTGTGACGACTGTGAGATTTAAAGAATATATTCAGTAGTTCATAAGAAAAATAAATTGAACTTGACCTAAAACTTACCAGGGCCAGATACGGCGAAAACGCGGCCATATTTGCTCTCGTTATCCTCATCATCGAAGCGCTTCAAATTCGACATTTTGGTTTTTTAGATGTTCAACTGGAAAATTAACAAAAACAGAAAATGTTGATTAATACTAAACTTACCTCGTTGACTTATTTTAACGAGGTTTAGCAATGCAAATAAAGAGTTTAGTCAGCTGACGGCTATTATTCAAATTAGACATTAGCAACTTTCTCTTATCAGTTCTGATTAGAATTCACATGGTCTGCCAATAATCCATCTAATTGGAATACCTTCTAACATTTCTGATATTTCCGCCAAATCTTAATTTAAAAATAATTTTTATGTGTTTTCTGTACCACTTAAAAGCCAGGATTTTTGTCGTGATGACTTAAAATACTCGCACTATTAAACAGATAAAAGCTTCGTGTTCACGTGACCTGCTGATCACCAGCGATGTATTTAGGCGAGCTTGGCGATCGTGTTCATGTGAGAATTTTATTTATTATTGCTCATCAAGAAAATATTAAATATTATATTTTAAGTGGTAAACTTCTATTAATGT